CATTGCACGCGTGCTGAACAAGAATGCTGTATAATGACAGACTAGAAACAATAGACAAATCCCAAAGCACAATCTCAGCCAAAACGCTGAAAATGTTCAATGTTTACTCAAGTTTGGGCTTATAGAAGATAATGTCACAGTTTTTCAATGACCACGAAATTCATAGTCTGGGTAGTTAGTTAATCAATCGTGGCCCTGAAAAAATTTGAAGAAAAAAAAAAACTACGAATTTTGAGGAAAATGCTTTTTTCGTGTAGATTGATCCATATGTTATCCAATCTATGTGTTAGACTTACGATAAAAGTAAAGGTGGGGATACCAGAGAGCTTCAAAGTAGGATGGTACCCCCCCCACGAAAGTGGATCGAGTCACCTTAACACCAGAAAGGAGACATTAAATCACCAAAGGATACTGCCTGTGGCTACATTGAAAAAGACATGGACCAGCCTGGCCTGGAGTCACGATTCATGAATGATTACATTGGTAAAATGTTTATCAATATTCATTTTCTAGTTCAAATAAATAAATCGAACCGGGGCACTTGAAGATTATCCAATCACGACATTTTTGAAAACAAAAGATTCTCAAGTTTTTTTGCAAATGGACCAATAAAATTCAGGGTTCAACTCTATGCAACCGTTAAAAACTTCAAATCGTTTGAACTTACCTGATCTCTTAAGAAACAGCACTCAAATTCATGAATGCTAGTTCTCCATTTGCAAAAAACCCTTAATAATGTTTTGTTGTCAAAAAACGTTGTGATTGGATAATCTTCTTCCACGTGCCCTGGTTCGAGTAGTCACACTGTAATTTATTGTTCAAAGGTTGCACGAAAGTAGTAATCTACTTGGAATTTTGCAATATCATGTAGCAATTAGATTAAAAAAAGTTAACTAAAATGAGATAATTACGCTACTTCAGGTAGAAGACGACTACAAATAATTTCGAGATGACAAACAAGCGCACAAACAAAGAAAAAAAAAGAAAGAAATTCTGTGTTTGTTGCGTTTTAATATCTGAAAGAATAATCGTGAAATGCTTTAAATAACAACCCCCATTTTGCATTGCAACAATTTATGAGCATATGAGGCCATAACTTTGTCTTAAATTGGTTACTACTTTAAAACAAATGTTTTTCATATCTTGTTCGGTAGCAAACAAGCCGCCACCAAGCTAAAAATTGGTTTGGCCAGTCATATTTTGACTGGTAAGAAACGAGCCATGACTGAGCTAAAATTTGTTCGACCCGCCACTGCAGAATAATCATTTTGACTCAACCTTGACTTCTACAGTGTCACACTAAAAAAACTATTCATAACTGTGTTAAGAAAACAGTAATTCTGATGTAAACTGCTACATTGCTTACCATTATGCCACTGGGAACCTCAACCGGATTTTTCTGTTAAATGGTTATTAACACCCACGAGAATCTCTTTTTTTGTAATCTGCTTCTTACTGTATGGAAAAAAGTCCAACAGAAAAGTAACTAATAAATATTAATGTACATATTTTCTTGCTCTTATAAGGAAAAGGGGTTTTCACCACAAGATAATTTAAGTCCGGAGACTTCCTCTTGGAGTACAGGGGGGAAATAATTAGGAGGAAAGAGGCAGAAGAGAGAGAGAACAAATATTTACCACATCACGGAAGCTTTATGTATTTATTCCAATGGGTAGGAAAAACCTACTGGTAATTTTTTTTATCTCTAGCATTACGAAACTGCAAGGGGGACATTTGTACCAGCAAAAAAAGGAACTTAGTTACATTAAAAGAGAATAATTATTGTTTCCTAGGCACTGTAAAGAAGAAGGTAGTCATGTTAATATTGCTTGCAGTTATTCCAATTCAGAAATCTAGACAAATGGGTTAAAGGACTTAAGTCTAAGGACTGATCTTGTGTAGTTTCATTTATTTTTACGGTAGTCAAGCAAATGTAATGATGAAAACAGAGTAACAGACTTTATAGACGGTGAGATGCGAACACTACAGGCTGTTCACTTAGCATAAATTAAACCATCAACGCCCTAGGAGTTGAAGCTAGTCAAGACATTTTCTGGTCACAGTCAGGTTATAAAGAGCTAAAACTGTCCAAAAACCTGTTTATAGGTCAAGCAAGGCCCTCTTTTCCAGATGCAAAATATCAGCTTCTTAAGTTTGAACATGTGCAGAAAGAGATACAGTCAAATCCCATGAACACAGACATTGGTGAGGCCATGGAAAGTGCCCCTATTAAGTGGGTCATATTACTCAAGTAAAAATACATTTGGAATAAAACACTAAAGAAACAAAACACGGCCCGCTTCCATTATTAAGATTTTGATTCACTTTTTGTATTTACCTTCCTATGCATTGCTTAGAGAAACCTTTTATGTAAATCATTACTGTGTCTCAGAGTAAAGGCTGAAGAGCATTTTGTAAGCTTGAGTTACGCGCTCTTAGCAAGAAAACCGTGCTTAAAATTTTGCTTAATCCTTAATCTTTCTAGGAATTCGGCCCAGGATGGTAGCATCGGCAAATTAAACTCTAACATAAACAAAGCCTAGCATAGCATAGCGAACTATGTCCATGGTTACAATGTAATGTCGCTCACTTAGACATACTTTATAATAAAAAGACATTCTCTGCATAGCTCATTGGATGCCAACATAGTCTGAAATTGATGTCTACAATAATAATACTATCGTTGACTCTTAAAGTGCTACTGAAGCCAAAAATAATCTAGTGAAAAATAGCAATAAATTATTAGTTCAATATCTAATTGAAAAGGAAAATAAGTTTTGACGCTAGGAAAACGTTGTTTTCGGCATTTTTTTCCCAACACAAACATGGCCAAATTGCGGCACAAAGGGCGACAAGCAGATCCTTAATTAAATATGCATATGACGTCACATGCCTGACTCGTCGAGCACGGCAAATTCACATTTCCAGTCAGATCACTGTGATGGCGAAGCGTGGAAGTGGAGGCAAGCCTTGAGCAGCTGGTGCTCCGGGTCAAATAAGTTGTACGAACAACTCTTATAGTCCTGGCATTTCGATGCACACACTCCCCAAAAATGAGATAGTTAGGGCTCAATGGGTTAAGTTTGTGCGGACTAACAGGCCGGATTGGGAGCCCACGGAATACAGTTATCTGTGCTCATTGCACTTTTACGAGAGTTGTTACACCCGCCTGAGGTTAAGCACCCTAATGCCTGCCGAAACAAGCGAGGAAAACGGCGAGAGCTCCGGACCAAGCAACAAGGGGTTTCAGGAAAAACGTGTGTTTGTCAAAGGATCGGTGCCGACAATTCACCAAGAACTAAGCGATCGCAGTCGAAGGAGATCGAATGCGGTAAGTGTCCAATCCAGTTATTGTGTTTTCAATTTTCACAACAAGCCTGTTATGTTTGTCTTTGGTAGTTTCAGTGGTAGTTTTTGAGAAAAACAAAGATCAAAAATAACGAAATATTTGATCAACTGAAGTGTATTTTTATCGAAATCATTGGGGAAATCCTCAACAACTCGGCCGCACTGAGGTGCTAAAAAATTACGAGTAAGACGAAACAAAAGGCCTTTCAGTGATCACTCGAACGTTCTTTGCAATGCCTAGCATTTGGAAGTGCTTTTACAAAGAGTAATATCTCCACTAAACTTGCTCCTTTTTTATAAACAATTGCAGCATTTGCGGGAAATCAAGTGGGAAACCGAGCGTGAAGTGGAGCGTAAAGTGGAGCTTAAAGTGGAGTGCCAGGGGGCAGCAACTACAGTGCGATCATGCGAGGACCGTGAAGACGAGGAGGGATAATTCAGCTACGATGGTGACTTGTCGGACTTGTCCGACCAAGACGATGCGCTTTCTTTTAGTCTTGACACTGAGTGGAGCATGGCCTGCAATAGAGCTACTCAGGCAAAGCCTAAAATGAGATCCAGACAGTCACAGACTACACTTGGAGAGTGCCGAAAGTGCGCCTGGCGGAAAATGCAAATAAGAGTCCTGCAGAAGTGAAACGAGAAATTACGCTCTCAGAAGAAAAAATGGAAAGAACAAGCCACAGTAATAAATGTAAGTGCTATTTTTTATTTCTTATTCCTGGTATGTAAGATAGAAAGTAATTATCAAATACCCCTCCCCAACCACCAAGTCATCCTCTCGTGCAAAACTGCAGTACCACGTGGGGTTTTTTTTTTATCTTTTATTCAAAAGGTTTTTTTACTAATAGTTTTCTTTATCACAATTATGTGATAGTATGACTCAAGCAGCAATAAAGAAGAATTAGAAGAGGAAGGAGAGGAAGAAGAGGACATGGAGGAGGTAGAGACAGAAGTGGAAAATATGGAATGTTTGGAAGACCCTGGAGTGGAGGATACAGAGAATTTCATAGATGAAAAGGAAGACGATCCAAACTGGCATTGTCAGATGGAGGATAAGGGAGATGATGATATTGACGCCGATGATGAAGAGACGGAAAGTACACCGATGAACAATATCAGGCAAGATGTTATGATTTTATTGGTCATTAGGTACTCATCCTTCCTTTTTCGTGCTCAAGAAGCTATAGCATGTTTCATAATTCCATATCCCTTGGTCTTACATTTAACAATTATTATTACTACCTAATTTATTGCAGTATTTGTATTTTTATAACCTCTAAAATTAAATTCTGCAAAATACTGGTCAATAATTTCAGGGCTGTTGCTAAGGAAAAGTCACCCTCCTGTAGGTCAACTCACATGATACTTTTTTGGGTGGAAATGTGCGGAGAGGACTGCCGAGAGGCTAAAGTTGGCCTAATTGGTTAATCAGTCCTTTTTTGTTTAAATGGCTCAATTTACAAACTGTTTCAAATTATTTGAAATTAAAAATGCCAAGAGCTAATCCCTATAACCAGTAAATTCTTCAGTCTCCTTTGCAGCTGACATGTGTTTTTTGCTAAACTCTAATGAGCATTGCATGATTAAATTTTGGCAGCTGTAAAATACTGTAGACTAGAAAATTAATTAACACGGCCTATATTTGGATTATATTTTGTAGTGTTGACAAAGACATCCCTTGCCAGAAGGAACCCAAATTTATTGTGTTCTGTACGAGGCTACTGGCTATATTCTCGATTTTTTGTTTTAAATGCAAGAGTGAAGGGCCAGACGTCACCATGAAGAAGAATGGCACCATGGTAACAGTGATGCAGAATTGCAGAAATTGTGGTCCTAACTCACTTCTGTGGAGGTCACAGCCAATGGTGCTTGGGCGGTATCCGGCAGGGAATATCCTGCTAAGCTTTGGAATTCTAATGGCAGGGGCAACTGTTAGTAAAGTGCTCCTGGTTCTAAAACACATAGGCATTTCTGTATACAATGCACAGACTTACTTTGTCCACCAGAGCACGTTTTTATTCCCAGCCATTCTGACCTACTGGGAACGATACAGGTCCAAACTGGTGAATCAGATTAAAGAAAAGGGAGAGGCAATTTGGTGCGGAGAGGGCAGATTTGACTCCATGGGACACTCTGCAAAATATGGAGCGTACACAATGTTCTGTTGTGCAGTTGCTAAGATTGTACATTTTGAGCTGGTTCAAGTATATTTTCATCTATATCAACAAATATAGATACGAAAAACAACCAACCTGTTTTCCCGGCCCCTATAAATGTAAAAATCTGGTATTTCTTGACACCTAGATCCATGTGTGACGGACCACACAAGACTCGTTAATAGCCTGATTAAAACTTTTGCTGAATGGGAAAATCTGCCACTACTACACAAAAATTGTAGGAAATATTATCTTTGAGTGATAAATGTATATTTTTTAAGGTTATGCAAACCAAGTAAAGAGCAGCAGTGACATGGAGTTAAAGGGCGCCCAAGACAGTTTTGCCTTCCTAAAAGCAGCAGGGTTAAAAATTAATGTGTTCATATGAGACAGGCACCATTCAATTGCCAAATGGATTAGGGAGCATGAGCCAGCAACCAGACACTTTTTTGATGTCTGGCATGTTGCCAAATCAGTAACAAAGAAGTTACTTCAAGTTGGAAAAGAAAGTGGCTGTGAACTCCTTGTGAAGTGGCAAAAGGCCATAAAGAATCATTTGCATTGGTGTGCTACTTCCACCAAGCTTGGATTTGGTGAGCTGATTTTAGCAAAGTGGAAGTCCATTATTAGGCATGTTTGTAATAAACATACTCAACACCCAGAACCTCTGTTTAAACAGTGTGTCCATGGACCTCTATCGAGACACATTTTCAAGCAGTTCCAACCACCAGTTAATTTAACTCTTTAAAGCTGGTAATATGTATCACCTGTTTCAGTTCAGTTTATTTCAACAAAGTGGTTTATAAATGTGTTTTAAAGGTGTTTTAGTTTGAAGATGCTCCCTACCCCTCTTAGAGTCCAAATCTAGGTCTTGAATTGCTTTTTTAATCCTTGGCTATAGAGGATTCTTTTTATGTTTAGAATTTTTGATGACCTGTGTGTAAAGGGTGTAAAAAATATCCTGAAACAAAATAATACATGTCAGAGGCAACCGTTTTGTCTTAAAAAAAGAGAAACTAATGTATTGGTTAATGTATTTCAGGCACAAATGTCTATAACAAGATGAAACAAATTTTGATGAATACAAGGCTCCTTAATGATATAAAAAAGTTGTCTAGTGAGGACCAAACAAGTTGCTTGGAGGGTTTTCACTCTACGTTGAATCAGTTCCATCCTAAGATGATATGTTTCTCACGGCTTGGCACATACAGCAGGTGGGGTGAGGAAATTGTTTTATTGGACGTCAGAGGTGGATGTCGTCTACCAACACTAGAGAATTTTTACAAGAGGAATCTTTTCTAACTATACCCCCTTAATAATTGCTCCAAACATTTGGTCCAAAACAAAAACTAAATCATTAGCTTAGGTGAAAGTGGCTGACAATTCAGTTAAATCAAACCTTTATTGGTGTGCTTTTGCTTTAGGCACATCTTAGCCAGTCTGCATTTCAATGAGAATTTGTTGAGGGAACCGCAAAAGACAAAAGACGGAAAGGAGTACCTTTTAGTGACATACCCTAAATACAAGTTTGGAGAAGTTGTGCAAGAAATCAGAGTCCCTCCTACATACAGTAAGTATGGTTATTTTTTCAGAACTTTCAGTGTAGCCACAGTGGTGGTTCCCAACCATGATTTATGGAAGATGAATGGCTCTTAAAGGGTCCTACCAATAGTTCAAGGAAAATAAAGCAGGGGTGGGTGTCTGGCTGCTACACAGAAAAACCTAGCAGAAAAATTACGGGGAAATGGTGGAGGACTGAAAACCCAGTTTACCACTTCTGTAGGCATTGAGCGCTTTCCTAACAGTGCCCCCTCTTTGAAGTGGGAGAACTGGTGTTCAGCATGCGCCTGGCTGAGAGGAATGTTATCCTCTTGAAGTACAAAACAAAAACCCCAGCACCTTTGAACTCACAGTTCACAGAGAGACGAAGTAGAGCAGAGGCAATGGAAAACTACAATAAGAGAAAATGGAAAGAAACAGCGGCATACCCTTCAGGTGAGGTTATGTGATTAATTACTAGAAAAGCCCATACTTGCAAGTATTTATAACAAAGATACGTTCTGATTGTGTCCATTACACTATGGTCACTATAATCCACTCATGTTTCTTGAATAAGGTTTGTAAGGCCAGCTTTTATAATAAACTGTATGTAACTAATGGTTTTACTATCTGTCATTACCTTTATTATAATAAATACATACTCCTTCTGCCCACAACAATTCCACAAGATGTGTGTGTGCTCTCTCTATATATACTTTCAATGAATGGTTTTGCTTGCAGTTGAAGTTCAAGGTGGACTTCAGTCATCATGCTCTAGTGCTGACCAGCAGCCTGCCAGGAAGAAGCGAAAGGCTCCAGTGTGTAGAAAGTGCAAGAAGCCGATGAAAAACCACTCCAGAGTTGGCTGGGCTGGTGCCAGTAACACTTAAAGCATTTACGCTAGTGTGTGTACAAAATATTGCATATCAAAGGAACTTTTGACAATAAATCTTAAAGAATAGTTTATCACTCAACAAAAACGGCAGACAGAACAGTTTTACTACATACCAATGACAAATAGGACTCTGCCAGTATAGCTTAATTCTTTTATTGTTAATTTTTCTCTTTCACAATATTACAGGATGCTGTAGAGCTATTGCCAAAATATGCCAGAACCTGTATATTTTCACCATTTTGTTGACTAAGATGAAAATCGAGGATGATGTTATTGCTAGGGATTAGCTGAACTTACTGCATTAAAACTCCTAATGGGCACCCAGTGAACTCTTACAGATTGTTTAAAGCTGCCTATTTTGATGCCACCCATTGCCATAGCATGTTTGCTGAATCAGATTGTCCATTTGACATAATAAAGTTAGGCAGAAAATAAGCCCATGGCCTAATAAGTTAGTAAAATGTTGCCAAACAATCCGAGGCTTGTCTTGAAAGTATACTGTAATAATAATAATAATAATAATGATGATAATGTTTACTGTGACACTGAGAAAACAGAGATCAATAGAAACATTTCTGGTATGTGGAAAACTAGACCGGCCGAAACAGCAATAATTAGTTCAAGGCTTCGAGGCTTGCTCGCATGTCCTGATCTTTGTTGTGACAGGTCACAACATACAATAAACATTTCTGAAATATTTCAAGTGTTCACGGTTTTCTGAGTTTGAGAGTAAATTAAGATCAAGAAGGGTGAATCATTTAGGTCATAACTTTTATAAAGTTGGTGGCTCCTAAAAGACCCGTTGTTTGTGTGCTCTCATGAGCTATCTCGCACTGGCTTCACCTTGCCTACGTTCTGCGGAACTGTAACCTCTGGAGGAGGCAGTCTGGAACTTTTGCCTGATTTTGTGGTAGACACATGCTGGAAGTGTTCTACTGTTATTCCATCCAAGGGGTCCAAACATCCATCGCACTAAAAAGCGGTATGCAGTGGCACGATAGCTCCTAGGGGAAAAATATTTATTACATATTTATAACAAAAAGAACTCTTCTATGGCTTGCTCTACGATCCTACATTATCACTAACCAAAAATACTGCTTTATGTTAACTTTGGCTAGGCATCATCACACCATTCACTCATGTAACAGTCTTATTATTTTATTCTGACTGACATGTCAGTTGCATTTTTCTTAATTCCTCTGAAGAGATTTCACACCTGCAAACATTGCAGACTGTAGTTTAACGAGGGATAACTCTTCGTAACGCAAAATAGTGGAAGATTCCTTAGAAATTCCTTGCAGAAAAAGGAAGATTCCTTAGAAATTCCTTTGTAGGTTTTATTTAATTTTTTTTTTCGATTCTGACAGTTCACCATCCAGCAGCTGCATCCAGACATCAACTCAGGTTAAATATAGAGTGAATGTGGTAAGAATGAACTTAGGTGCTATTGAACAGAAGCACAAATACTTACTCATTCTTAGCATTTTGAGTTCCTTGGCTAGGAAATTTGTAGCTGCAACCCTTTCTGTCCTTCAAAAGAGGGCAAACTTGCTCGAGTACAATCGCATTTGTTAGCGCGTTGAAGTCTGTGTGGTCGAGAACACAACTTCCTTCTATTCCTTCAAAGGCAAGTTTTGCCATGGCTGCGGCGACCTTCTTGCAAAAACGGAACTCCAAGGCACTGGACAAAAGTTCAGTACTGCAGTTTCCGCATTCGCACCTACAAAATTTAGAAGAATTTAGAAGGGAAACACGTAAGTTACTGTAGTTACTTAGTGTACAACAAACTGTAAACAAAGATAACTTCACGCATATAACAATTATTGTTGTATGCATGAAGTTCATAGAAAACTAAATTCGCTCGGCCTGAAGTGTTATTGTTACATATCTTACTTACCATGTATTAAGGGTATCTGATTTTCAGATCTAGCCTCTAATATAGCCTGAGTTAAACCGTCTTCGTCTTCTTCTTCCTCGGGCTCTTCATAGTGTTCCGGGCGAAATGGGCTCGAAAAGATATGGCTCCACGAGGTCGCCAACTACGCCAAAATCGTCCTCGATTTCGCCTTCCACTTCTTCAGAAACACTCCTAGAGCTTGTGTTCGAATCTGAATCGTCTGAAGTAGACATTTTCCAAATGTAGACTGTAAAAACAAAAACCAGAAGTTTACAGTGTGAACTCAACAGTGGATTATGTCAGCAATGGCAACCTTTCGCTTTGCGACTCAACCATGTGACGTCACTAGTGTGGTTATCCGCTGACAAGTTCACAGACTCCATTTTCAGATTTTGAGTCAAACAGTACCTCGCTGAAGCGGCTCTATGATTGGCTGATTGAAAATCTCGGTTTTTCTTAATTTGGGCGTGTAGGAGCACCAAAAAAACAGTCACTTCAACTGTTATTTCAACCATTTCTGTGGTGTGACAAGTGCAATCTGTAAGAGATCAATAGTTTTATATTAGGAATTGCAAACTTTCGAAATATCAAACCAAGTGACACGACATGCAATTATAATACATATTACTAATTGTTGTATACTGGTCTACTGGTTTGCAATAGGTGTAAAAAAGGTTATGAGTAGACAACTAAGTGTAGCAAATGTGGCAAGCGTGCTTAGTGTAACAAGTCAACTAAGCGTGGCAAGCGTAGCAAATGTAGCACGTGTACTTAGTTTAGCAAGCGTAGCAAGCGCAGCAAATGTAACAAGTGTACTTACTTTAGCAAGCGTATCAAGGGTAGAGGATAGTGAGCGTAGCGAGTGTAGCAAGCGTAGCATGCGTAGCAAGTGTAGCAAGCGTAGCATGCGTACCAAGCGTAGCATGCGTAGCAAGCGTAGCATGCATAGCAAGCGTAGCAAGCGTAGCGAGCGTAGCAAGCGTAGCAAGTGTAGCGAGCGTAGCAAGCGTAGCGAGCGTAGCAAGTGTAGCAAGCATAGCACGCGTAGCAAGTGTAGCAAGCGTAGCAAGCGTAGACTAAAGAAAATCGCTTAGTTATTCAGATCCAGAAGGCACTTTGGAGAAAATTGGAACCCTTATTCAGCCGTAATAAAAAAGCTTTCCGCTTCAAAAGAGGTCAAAGAAAATGCGCTTGCATCAGAGGGCAAATCCTGCAGAAAAAATAACTACAGTCAATCGATATGTATGTCATGACTTCTCAGTGTGAAACATGCAGCTAAAATCACATTTGCTCAGTATTAATGCAGAACCTTCCAGAGCATAATCTACCCAGCAGATAAAAACAACTTAATTGGAATAAGCAGCATTTTGGCATGAGGTAAAAGTCGTGTAGGCCTACCACCCCCTTTTGTTGCTATTCAAGACTGTTATTATGGTATGTTCACTGTCCTTATAAAATATAAAAGCGTTTGAGAAGTTTTCTTGTTACCCTGGAACTGTTTTAGCATATTTGTTATAAATAAAAGAGTACAATTTGCCTTCCATTTGTAAACATCTCTTATCCTATTTTTAATCTAATTTTTTCGGCTGGCCCCCCCCTTTCAAGTCAATGTTTTTCGAGTGGCCCCCCCCAAATCCCACCAGCCCCCCCTCTCTCATAAAAAACGAACGGTCCCTTAGTTCTCATTACAACCAATTGATTTTGTTACCTTCATAATTTTAATTGATTTGATCTTCTCATGGCCTTTCAGGCCAAACAACAAGAATGAGAACCAATGGGTCTAAATACTGCACTTGTAAAAAGGTAAGAAATCCCTTTGAATATATACATGTATTTACCAGAATATATATGCAGCGTAGCCTAAAACAGAAGCTACAAATTTTTGGCTTGTTTTCTTGTTCTAATAATTTGTCAATAACCCAACCTGGTTGGCTGTAAACTGTAACAAAATAATGCAACCTTGATGGGACCTACACTTGATATCGTCAGATGTTACTGGTCTGCGGATGCCTGGTTGGGACAGCTGTCAGTAGACCGTGCGATGGATATCCGATGTAAAAGTTAACCAAGGCAATTAAGGCAAATATGCAACCTAGATTAATCATTTGGTTAATTGGGAGAGCAACAGGCACCATGTCGTGCGATGTTGGAGTTATGTACATTCATGGGCCCATGCACCAGTAAGTAATTGCCACTAACCATTATGACCTTACAAATGAAATGCATGAGTTTCTATCTAATAGTTTCCATCATAAATACTTATGGGCTCCACACCGCAGACCTTCGGGCTGCCATAGCTATTATTCAAATAGCATGGGATTTGTAGAAATTTTTTGAAGGTAATTAAAAGGCAGCAATTTTTTACAGCAAAGATCACAAGAAGAAGAAAACGAAATGCTAGTATGTGAAACAAAGAAAAAAGCTCAGGTATTGAGAGTTAATTAGCACCTAACATGTTAGTAATGACAACCAACAAGGTTGGCTTTCAAAGCCCTAGAGGATAGCTGAAAACATTAATTTCATTTGGAAATGTTTTTAAAAATGTCTCTTGGTAGATCCGATTTCAGCAAGTAAACAAATTGTAACATTCAAGGTCCACATTTATTTGCCAACATATTTTAGTTACATATTTTTCATACACATAGAGAATACCTGAATTTAGTATATACTAAAACAGTGGATAGCGTTGAAGGCGCGCGCTGATTGGTGCGTCAAACTCTGAATATCCTGTGCTATTTACCTCCGGGCAATTCGAGAGAAAATGGCGTCCCGGTTTGCATCCGTGAAAAGTGAAGAAATGATCCAAATTAATTTTTTGTGGTGTATATTATCTCACTGTTTTAGTATATACTAAAACAACTATTCACCTCAGTGTTGGTGGTTAGCGGTGGCTATTTACCTAACCGCTTTGCGGCTCAGTTAATATTAACCACTAACCACCTCCACTTGGGTGAATAGTTGTTAAATAATAGTGACGGGGGAGCCCACGAGAAGCCAGAAGGCTATTAAATGATGGTCTCCCTTGGACCAGCAATAAAACTAGTGAATTGTTTCTGTCAAATTGTTAAACAGAATTCAATTTTACACTGTAACATTTCCTTAATAACCTGCTTTCCTATTGGCAAAGTTTCGAAAAAAACATTGTTTAGACTGTACCCCAGATGAGGATGCTCAAAGAATGCTCATTGCAACTCATTGCAACTATCCATGGCTAAAACACTGAAATCCTTAAATTATTTGGATTCATGCGTATATCCGGAATCAATCTAATCCTTAGTTCAAGTTCTTGTAAATAATATGGTGATGTATGCATAACTAAAAAAAAAATGGAATTCCAGCTCACCCTTCAGAAAAATTTCAATGACTGTGTACTTTTTTTTTGTCGCTCTTTTGATGATTAGGTAGTCAGCAAATGACATTTCTCGTATAAAAGTCACGTTCTCCATATGAAAAATAAACTCTTGTTAGATAATTATGAGTTGTGACACAAAGGAAAAAATATGAATCAAGGATAAATTAAAACCATAACAAATAAAATACATATTATATGTTTGTCAGTACATTTTCCTCTTAAGAAGAGATGAGCATACTTTCATTGTAGTGCCCAGGGAAAGGTTACTATCACATGTCATGCTTGGCATTGACAGAACGTCCCAGAGAGAAAAAGTGGTAAGTAAAAGGCACGTTCACTGTCATGTTACCAAGATGTTTATCAGTTTCTACACCATCAAGGTTTATCTTTTCACCAGCATGCAACCTGCATATCAATTAAACAGCTTTATATTTAAAAAGATTGATTTTGAAAATTATCCTAATAATATATCCTTTTTTCCTCAAGGTACTGCAGTGAATCCTGCAAGAAGGCAAAGTAGGAAGGTAATATGCTTATTCTCAGCAGGGTGAAAGCTTGTAGTATGACTATCTGTGATGTCTGACTTGTACCCGGCCTTTCCTAAAAGAGATTTTGTTCACTATAACACATTGCATCATGCCCCACAATGACATCTGTGATCACCTAATTTCTCCCAAGAATTGTTCAACATGATATAAAGTGTTCACCTCCTATATGGATCAACGTTCTACCAGTGCCCGACACTAACACAAGTCCACTAGCCCAGGACTAGTAAAACCATGGTGGGCTAGTGATAACAACCTCCTACTCTACTAGCCCCTAAACTAATTAGTTTCATGGAAAAGAAATTTACTACAACTTGATAACTTGGAATTTTTTTGTAGCTAGTTGCTAGTACATGTAGCTTGAGTAATATGAACCAGAGGACTATAGGGGTCTATTATGATCCCCTCACAGAATAGACCCCACCTTGAAAAAGCCCTTATGTCCTCACCTCCATATCACTAAAAAGCGAACTGGGTTCACATGAACCACCATAAATGTGCCATCTAACTCGAGGAAACACCATTCTACAGTGTATGCCCGGCAATCCTAATTAAATGAATAATGTCATGGCAATATAGCAGTGCTTAACACTAACGTTTTTGACTGCTAGGCAGAGGGCTAGTAAGTACAGTGAATCACTACTCCACATGGACAAACCACTAGCCCAGAACAAGGCCAACAAAAGGCTAGGGAATTAAGAAACTAACTTGGTTATCACAAAAGGATGAAACTTATCCCTGGTGATCACCTGGTTGGGTCCCAAAATAGATTTAATATCATTAATCTGCTTCTGAACAATTTGTTCATTTCCATAATAGTCCATCAGGTAATTATACAGGAAATGTACAAAAAAGCTTTGAACAGTTGAGCTCTGGAGGCGTCTGTTCTTGATATGATTGGAACTCTCTTGGTAGCTGGTTCTGATGCCATTACTTTGTTCCAACAGGTTGATGTCATGATACGCACACAACTCGGACTTGTGGGGGTTTACAGAAGCATGAAATCGATCACCTGCAATATACCTCCTCTTTTGGCCAGTTGTAGGATGTTGCCATGTGGATGTTTGGTCAACCTGTGCCAGCTTAGTTTTAAACGTTGAGCTTACTAACTCTGGAACACTGACCTGGAAGAACAACTTAACTTGATGTTACCAGGGTTCAAAACAAAATCATAGCTTTTAGCTGGAATCTTTTGGCTTGTTTTGACTGGGTTCATTTTTTCTTGCTGTCAATAATGAATAAGTATGTACCCTCAGCAGTCAACAACAACAAATATTCCATACTTTCTGCAATTTGTTTGTAGGCCGCTTCTTGCAATCTGTTTAAAGCCTTTATATAATGAAATGTTATGTCTATTCCCCACAATATTTGTTGACAAGAGAACTCTTTTGCACCTGGAACATTGCCTTTTTTTCAGTAAGACATTGTGAGAGACTCAATCCATGGTCATGCATGACATACACTCATTCAACAGATTTACACTGCATTATGGGGTGGCTAGTGTGAAATAATCATTATATTTAGTCTGGATGGGACAAAGAATCTCACCACAGACAAACAATGTAAATTCATCAGCTACAATGTACTGTTTGTTTACAAAACTTGAAGAATGGCTTGTATTTAGTCCCTGGTGTGATTTAAAAAATGATCAGCTGCACTAAAAGGACAGAAGATGGATTATACAACTCCAGTTTTAACCCATTACCTGTAAATTTATGTAACTACATGGCTGTGCTCAATCTGTTTTGAAAAGCTAGACTACAATATGCATGCTCAAAATAATAATTCACTAAATGGTGGATTGGGTATACATTATCAACTAGTGCACTCACTTTAATAGGTGACTTCCCTATTACTGGCTTCTGAAAGCACCCCACATTGTCACCCCAAAGTTGTTCTGCAACATCCGGACACCTCTGATCAATGTGACGTGCCAGAGTACAAGGTGTATCACAGATTAAAAGAGGAGGGGGGTATTTCAGGCTGAGGTACAAGTCAGCAGCGTCACGGACAGATTCTTGCAGAAGAAGGAATTTTGATGCAACAGTACACTGCAAACAAACATTTAAAATTAAAATCAGATTGTAGGAATGAACAACTAAGCAATAGTGTAAGTGACACATCTTAACATATAAGTAATAACAGAAAAAGGAAATCTTGAGGGGCTGAACAATTAACTCTTGATGGGGGTGGGTAGTGGATGATATCTGGTCACCTTACCTGGTGGGTAAGGAAGTGTGGGATAATTTTCCATTCTCAGTGCTCTGAAGGATTACTGTTTATATTTGTGCTGCATGCATTTTTTTCTTCCAAAAAGCACTTGCAGGAAATTTTTTTCAAAATCCCCCCCTCCAGAAAAATGGTTGCCCCCTATAAGGCCCCTTATAAGTTTTCACAAGTGATAATGTTACAATGTATGCAGCAGTGAGAACATGATGAAATTAATACCAAGTCACATTTTTGAAAAAAACCATATTTTTTTGCTTTAATCATTCCATGGTGTTAATACATCTTCAACTGTAGGTCTTACTTCTAAAATTGACTTTTTCAGTAGTTGAAAAAAAAATCGGAATATTCTCTTTTTGATTTTTAAGTAAGTTAATCAAATTTTGTTCTAAGCAAACAAAGTGCAAAATGTTAACTTTGGAAAATCATGGACTGAACTATTACTTTACAAGAGTTAACTTATAAGAAATTTAAATAAGGAAACAAAATTGTGTACACTCACAGAATGAGGACAAACAATGCGATAAAAGCCACCTGAGTGACCTTCGACATGGGTGAACTTATGGCATGGAGAGTTTCCAACAGTGATACTTGCGTAAAGAGCAAGCAGCCTGCCTCGCAAAAAATCCTACATCAAATAAAATAGAAAAAAAAGTTAATTATACTTTGTCACACAACGATGTTAGTGATGTGTGTTTTTTGGGAATCATTAATGTAGCTGTTATTTTATTTTTTGGTATTTTTAGTGTGAATTTGTCGTCCCTACACTCCTCCTACTATCTGTCTTAAGAGATCATCTTGCTAACAGGGGTCTCACTAAGGAAGTATAAGTTATTTTGTCAGTACAGTTTGCATGCTTTTGCTTTGGCAAGTCATTCTTGATTTTCAATTTATTTAGTACAATAAAAATACATGGAATTCCAGTAATTAAAACTTACAGCTGATCTCTGTTTAGTCGATATTGAGCATTCTTCACAAACTTGTTTGAGTTTTTCCGCAGATAAATTATTTATCTCTTCAACAAGGAAATTTTTTGCTGCAAAAGGAGGTGCAGCATTGTAGGATCACCTAAAAAAAAGATTTATTGACTGTTGATATAAATACATGACAGCCATTATATTAACTACCAACTGATTAATTAATTAATATACGGTCAAGATCAAGATAAACCTTGAGAGAATTCATAGAATACTTATTAAATAAACTAGTTGGGCAATGCTGAATTTAAATATGTTTGATTAGAACAGTTGCCTGGGCAAGATGCATATGAATTAAATTATGAAATCAAATAACATAACAGTTTGTTCCACAAAACATTTTGGGTCAACTCAGATTTTGCAAAAGTTCCACAAAACATACCTGGATCAAGTTTATGTTTTTGTTATAAGATAACATTTTATTTATCTAAAAGTGAACCATAGAACCTAGGTATAATTTGGATTGATACAAACGTATATATAGACGCATAGGAGGAAAGTAATGCATGCAAGAAAATAAATTGTTACCTTCTACATCATTAAGTTTTTCCTTCTTTGTTAAGTATACACTGTTTTTACTGGCTTCGGTATTCAATACTTTATTCGCACATTGACATGGTGGAATTAATGGTGGCACTTCTCCAATGTTGGCTGATAGCTTGCCATCTGCTTTGGTGTAAGTTGTTATTTCAACAAAATGGGATGTAATCCTGTGTACAAAATCTTCTAAAGGTGGCAACTGTGCTGTTTCCTGTTGACTATAGTCAATCTGTATTGTGCCAGTATCAAAGAAGAAGAACAATAATTGAATGGCTTGGTGCAAGAGGGACGTATTGCTAACTGACGTTTTTGGGTTACTTTTTTTCCTTCAGAAGTGCCTGAATTTTTGCATGTGCTTTTCAGTTAAGTAGTAAACCATTCCCCTGTATTTTTTTGGACGGGTTTGCACTTTGTTTCTGACAACGACGAAGATAAAATATTGAAGCGTGCTCAATGAACGCAACAAAGCAAAATTCAGGTCAGTCTTCCAGAAATCAAACACAACACTGATCCGGTACTTAAACTAGTGCCAACTCAATTAATTGGCGTAATGAATAAAACAGAAATAAGTGGAACAGTGTTGACCTAAAACAATAATAAATAAATAATATCAATGACAGTTAGTATGAGAAAAATATGTGAGACGTATTGAGGGAAAATCAAATTGAACATAATTATATTTCTACTGACCCCCTTAACAGTACAGCAGTTTTTTGAGTTGCCATCACCATAATAAACTTCTCCAACAGTTCCACACAACCCACATACAACATCATCCATGTTTCTTCGGGTCAAGGCTTCAAAACTGTAGAATGCATTGTACATTACATCACAAATGTAGTCAACTGTGTTTGGATTAGGTGTGCGATCCTGCAAGTATAAAAATTAAAGGGGACCATTCAGGGAATCGCGTTTATTTCTAATAAATTTTTCTGACTGCAAATAAAGTTAACTAACATACATGTAGCTGCTTCATTAATATATTAACATTTACAGACATTTTTTCGAAAATGAAGATGTATTACATTTTTCGAAAATGAAGATGTATTACAAACCTTAGGAACTGTACACAGCAATGACTTCATTTTGCACTCAATAATCATTGAGAGGGGTACACCTGTTTTGAATAATTCTCGCCACTCTAAAAAGATTTCCAGAGATATGAGAACTTTGTCTCCAGCATTAAAGAGTCCTGTATTTAGATATATATAAAACAAAGATAAGAAAAAAAAACCAACATTTAACAACAGTGAAATGTGTAATTAAAATAGTTCCAGACTGAGACAACCAGTTTTGCTGATACAGTGACAGTTTCTATGCTTCAATTCATACAGGCCTACAGAAAATTTATGGACATCTACATGCGTGGATGTAGGACACTGCCAGCTGATGATCATGCAAATGTACCATAAGAACACTTTGAAAAAACTGGTTAAAATTATAGATTTAAACCTTCGGTATAAAATATGTGCTTCATTTCTGAAATGTTGAGAGACTGATTTTACATGCATATACAAGATATACATGTATGATGTAAATAGGTATTCAAGTACACTGGAAAAAACAAAAACAAAAATCCAATGGTGATTTTACTTGGTTTTTTCCTGGATTTCACCTAAAATCCAGGATTGGTTAAATTGCAATTTTTCCAGGGTTGGTTATGGAGAAAAACCCAGGTTGGTTCTTGCAATTACCTAATCTGGAAATTTAATTTTACCAGTGTTGGAATACGATAATTCCAGCAATGGTTTTCAAGTTAACCAGGAGTTAACCATCTTTGGGTTCAGCAAAATGTGGATTTGGTAACAGCAAAAACCAGAGTGTGATTCCAAAGAAAACAGTCAGGATAATGTGAAATACAAGTCAGGAAATATTAACTATCCAGTCCTGTATTTCTGAAATACAGTTTGTGGAAAATGACTATCCCAGGGTTGGATTAATAAAATCTCCATTCATGGAAAATGACTAACCCAGGGTTGGATTAATAAAATCTCCATTCATGGAAAATGACTAACCCAGGGTTGGATTAATAAAATCTCCATTCATGGAAAATGACTAACCCAGGGTTGGATTAATAAAATCTCCATCCATGGAAAATGACTAACCCAGAGTTGAATTGGTAAAATAATCCAAGACATCCCCATACTTAAAAAAAAATAAAATAAAAATAAAGCTACAATGTTTTATCCGAACATTCATGGTAAATAAACCCTTTCAGGTTTTTTCCCTATGTTTATGCTATGAAATATCCAAATATTACAACATACAAGATCTCATTGGTTCAACTGACCAGAAGACCTTTATTCACAAAATGATACTTAATAGCAAGACAATTTGTAACTGTGACATGCATGTACAAAATTGAAAATATACATGTATATTAACATGCATTTTATGTGAAGTACTTAATACTGTAAAAACACAGTTTTCAACTTCTAAAAGGTTGAAGTTCATAGTGACGACTACTAAAAGGCATGTTTACGTTTCTTGCTTCTGTTACCTTCTTAATAAAACACAACTTC